GCAGGAGTTGTGAACTCTTTTTAAGCAAGGCACTTGAACCATAGCAAAGCGTAACAGCTAAGCTCCAATTGAAAGTCAATTTGTGTGAAGTTGGAATCTGAATTTTAAGCATTGAACATTCTAAATAACTTAATGGAGGGACATTTAGTTTTGAATAATATTACGTTGTTCTGCTCACCTCTGAAGTATAAAGTTGAATAATATACTTTTATTTTGATATTCCTATGGAACTATTTTTCAACATTTGGTCCGTAGTGGTGCCATGTGTGGAGAAGCTGTGAAACTGAGCAGACAATTTAAATGTCAGTATCTAAAAATCAGAGAGAGAAAAAAAAGTGTAACCTGTGATTTGTGTGCCCAGGCAAATTTTACCTTTTACTGTCATAGAAGAAAGAAAACAATGAGCACTGAATAAAGTAATAGTTACAGCAACTTTACAGCTGGCAGTAGAGTAGTAGTAGTAAAATAGGACAAAGTTCACTTGATTCAAGGTGTTGAATTGAATGGTTAGGTCAATGAAGCCTTTAGTGTTTTCCCTGTAAATTTCACATGTAGGCAATTGGACAGAAATGTCCAATTCAACATGTTTCCAAACAGGTAAAATTAAAATAAATAAATAAATAAATATTGTATAATTGAAGTCTGTGACATATAACTATGTTCAATGAGTTCATGCAGGCCTTTTCTCCTTACTGCTTATGAGCTGAGAATCCTGGTTATTGTAAGGATTGGTAACGGTTTACATGGCCTGAATTCTTTATCTCTTTATTGATTGCAAATTTGATTATCCAGGGCTTGTTTAGTTTTACTCGTAAACAATATTAAAAAATATTTAAGAGTTGTACACCCTTAAGACATGAATATAAGTGGCTCTGTTTAATGAGGCAAATCTGGATTAGATTAGCGTGAAACAGAAAATTAGTGAAAGCTGTGAAGGTTGGCACCTGTAAGGGTAATCAAAATTATAACTGTTCAGTGTTCACTTCTGTAACCAGGTTTGTCACATTTGCTTGGGATGTGCTTTGAGTATAGAAATGACATGCTATGGAAAGAAAGCCACACACTTCAGTCTGCTTATTCTTAACTGAATGAAGTGCATGGAAGACTGCATAGTTTTGAAAATGTATGGAAAACAAGGAGCTGGCTTCCTTAAATAGGTTTTGTGTAGACACTATAATGAGATTGTTTACAGCAAAAAGCAGGTCTGAGAAACCTCATCCTGAAATTATTCATGATTCTGTGGTGAACTCCTGGCTTCAAAGTGAGAATATTTGCCTGGGACAAAGCAGTACACAGAGCTGTGCCTGTGTAAAACTGTGCCTTGCATAGATGTTTGTCCAAGGCTAAGGGTAAATCTGCTTTCATGGCTTATGTTGAGTGCTGCATATGTCTTTTACTGTGGCTACAGGACAGTGATTTTTAGCTTTGCCATTGAAATAATTGGATTACAGAAAAATAATAAACACTTTTCTCTACTGGCACATGGCTAAATAATAGCCTTAGCTCAGCAGTTGTTATGAAAGCAGTGTAGTCTTTTTGCTTCTGCATTAGCTAGCCAGAGATATAGGGAAGAGAAAATGCAGAAAGTCTGTTGGTTAAGTCCATGTGTAGCTTGCTATCTGCTGTTAGGCCATGTGGAGAAGTGGTGTGTTAAGCACAGAAAAAAAAACAAGACTTTTTTTTTTTTCTTTTCTCAGAAAAGAGCAATCCTCTTTTAAACTTGCTTTTGCACAAAGTACAATCTCCTTTACATTCTGAGAAACCATTTTTATGAAGGCTGTTCATGCCAGGTGAAATAGCTTTATTGGTGATAATCCCTTCCCTTTGATTTTTCGGTGCTTTGAATAAGAAACACAGATTCTGCCAGACACTTTGAGGGTGATTCTCCAGGCAAACATTAAGAGTGCAGCAGACCCAAGGGTTAGGATTTTCTTGAGAGGGCAATACCAAAGACTCCTAAGAACTGATGGTACTTAGATGTAATAGGTGTGCTGCTACCAAGTAAAACCAACAGCTGAGAATGAGGTTTAAAGTGAGAGGAAACATTACTGATGTAAACTGTCTCTCCCTTTGCTTATTATGGTTCTTCCCCAATTTTTCAGCCCCTTCCTTTGGTAAGATTAATCAGTTCTCCCCAAAGTATTTTTCAGTACATTGCAGATTGTAGCCATGTGGATGAACTTTGTTTACCAAGGCAGAGGCCTGCTGAGCCAGGGAGGTGCATTAGATATGGTATACCAGTTCTAGACTTGAATTTAGTAGTCTCTATAGGGCTATATCAGAGGGTAATAACTGAACACTGTGTTGAGAGGAAGTAGCTGCAAATGGAAGTAAAAGGCTGGAAGAAGCTGGTCTGTTAGATACTGCAGGTATCAAATCAGACTTACCAAACTCTCTCAACATCTTCCCACTTGTTTCTCTAAGTTGGATTGATATAGAAAGACACTTTTAAATAAGTAAGTTTTGGATTTGGATAGTTTTCAAATGAATTTATTTTTAACTACATCTGTTGAATACTTTTTTACACTTGAAGTTGATTTTGCATTCCCTAAATATATTCAAAATAATTTGCTGTGAGAAAAGATATTTTTTATGTCACCTTTTCTGGACAGAAATGTTCAAAGACCTTCCACTGTGCTTCTGAAATAATTGTGCAAAGCTAGGGTGTGTCCATAGAAAAATGATAATGATCCATAAGGATTCCTTTGTTATTTTCTTCTATATAGCCTACATAGCATTGGCACTTTAACTGACATGTCTGGATCTTTCTGTGATCACACATCAAAGTGAATATATATGTATATATTTTTTTGCATTAAGAAAAAATATTTTATTGATTTCATGGTTATGAATTGTTAAGCAATTATTAGCATTGACAATAATGACTGCAGTATACCAAGAAAAAAAGGCAGAATAGGTATGAAAGATAATATTTATGGCTTACTTCAAACATATCACCTACTATGGACATTAGAAATATTGCATTTAATTCATTCTAATGAATATAGTTTCTTGATAACTATATACTCTGTGATAAAGGATAAGTTACAGTAGTCATCAAAACTGATATTATGGTTATTATGGTGTTGTACTTTGATACAGTTGACCAATGTGCTATTACAGCTTGAGCATACAAGCAAATAGGATTCTTTGCTATGTTTTTTTTTAGATTAATTATTCTTAAGATTGAAGATGAAGTGATGATGAGGTGAAGATTCTGTGAAAGCTTAGAAAATGCTTATTCTTCATTTGCATCAATTTGAACAAATCTAATGTGTTCCCATGTACATGTATCTAGACTTGACTTATCTGTGACTCAGAGGTCATGGTTTCATTATTTCACTGCTCAGTTAAATGCCTGCTATTGAGATGGATGTCCCTTGGAGGGGAAACAAAAGTTTGCTTTGGTTGTTAATTTCAGTGTGGTTCTTTGAAGCCTGCTGAGCCAATACCTAATTAGACTGTACACACAGTCTGAACAAATGAAAAAGAAATACCACTTCTTTCAGATAACATTTAAGGTGATGATTTCTCCTCAAGTGAAATCTACTCAGGGAAATCAATTCAATGCTGAACCAGAAACTCTTTCCATAATACCTCATTATATGAAGGCATTACTGTAACACATGTACAGTATCGAAGAGAGTGTGCTGTTTGGAGATCTTGGCTGTATCTTGTCACAGCCATGGGACAAGTATAGTTTCATTCCTGTTTCCTTAATTTGAAACCAGAGATATATTCCTTGTCTATAGTAATATTATTCTGATGGTGATGTCTAATTGCACTACATGTAGAGCAGAAACCTCTTATGAAATGTTTGGAGGCTGAAGACTAGTGATTAGCTTTGGAATTGAAAATTATTTAAGTGTTCCTGCCTGACTTCTCTAATAACTTCAGCTGTATTAACTTGCTCTGTTTTTGTATTAAGCCACATGCTTTGTGTCTTGCCTTTGTTATGCGAAAGCCTACCAGGAATTCTGGTGTTCTAAGTTCAATTTAATATCTCTGAAGTATTAAAGTAACGAAAATACACTTTAAGTCAAAGACAGGACAAGGAAAACAAGCTCAGTTGCCTTGGAAGGTCAAAGCCTTAAAAACAGCAAGTAGGAGGCAGCTCACCTAGCATAGCTCCTGAGGGAGCAGAAAGAGATAAAGAAAAAAGAGATATGCAGTTCTCTCAAGAAGATAGATGTGCTTTATAAACATGCACATTTATAGACATTTATAATCATGTACACAAAGGCATTTTTTGCCTTTGCATTTTCCTCTCGTTAAGGGGACCTGTATAATGTAATTTGTTGAAGTTCAGTAAATAAAGGTATTTTCTTCCATTTAATAAAGAAACATTATGATTTGGCAAACAAACTTTATGACTATGGTGATCCTTTTGACTTCAGTAAATACATGTGAAACAGATCTAGTCTCTTCCATTGTCTGACTTTTCTATTTATTAAAAAAGCAACACAAAACCCAACCAGCAATCAGTTATCATATATATATATAAGACATTAATTTGTCAATGTCAAGCCTGTGAAGGGAAAAAAAGCATCCATTTTTCTTAACATCCTCAAATGTTAGTTGAAGATATTGCTGCAAAATTCTGTTTTCTTCCCTGTGCTATCTCATCCTTTGTTTTCAGCTCATCTGATGGCATCTTATTGTATAAAGAACAAAAAAATCAGCAAGTTTATCTAAATGCAAGTCTCTGGTGTCACTTTGATGACTGTTAGATTGGTGTTATGTTCCTTCCCTATTTTCCTGGCTTATGTAGAGTTAGAGAATGATACCAGGCTTATCTTTGAAAGCAAGGAACTATTTATAGGATGTAGAAATATTGTCTGTATGTTTCTTTTCAAGTCTATACAACAGAAATTGATTTTTTTTTTTTTTTAATTTATTTTTTATAACTGGTACATCTAAAGACTTTTGGACAGAATAAACAGAAGAAAGGTGAGAAACAGAGCATGACTATAAACCAGTATTTGTTTTCTGAACTGCAGGTAACGGGACATTGATTGGAGCATCTGCAAATGTTGTTTGTGCAGGAATTGCTGAACAGCATGGTTACGGCTTCTCTTTCATGGAGTTTTTCAGGTAAATTTTAAACTTCTTTCTTTAAATGTGTCTTTTTTTTTTTTTTTTTTTTTTTCTTCTAAGACACACAGTGGATCCTCCAATGAGAAAATCTATTGAATAGGTCTATAAAATAGATCTGTTTCTTTACTGTAAGGCTGACAGAGCACTGGGGTTGTGGAGTTTCCTTCTTTGGAGATATTCAAAACCTACCTGGATGTGATTCTGTTCAACATGCGTTAGGTGACCCTGCTTGGTAGTGGGCTTGGACCAGATGATCTCCAGAGGTCCCTAGCCTTAGCCATGCGGTGACTCTGTGTTCCTAATTTGTTTTTGGGAACTGAAATGCCAGCACAAGGCTGCTCATGTAATTTTTATGTAGTGTGGATAGAGTGTATAAAGGTGTTGTGATTACAGTGAAACCCTGGGAGAAGGTGGGATGCCCCAGTTCAGACTGAGTAGAACTTCACAATCCCCTTAAGTAAACTGATTTATCTAAAGGCAATTACTATTTTTTTTTTTGGCCACCTGCTCAGCAGCTCTAAGTGAAAGTGAAATCAATGGTCAGTAGCATCTCAAGTTGTTGTTTAATACTCGTTTAATTATTAATTAGTAATTGTTTAATAACAACAAGGGAACAACATGAAGTTCTGTCGGGAGAGGTTCAGGCTGAATATTAGGAAAAGGTTCTTCACTGAGAGTCTCTAAATCAAGTCTTCACAGGCTTAGGGTAAGCAGAAACAAAGATGCTTAAAGTGTAACCAGTCCTTTCAGCATTATTCACTGGAATTTACTCTTTGGAAAAACTGAAGATGATACACAGATGTTCTGAAGTTACCTTCTTTATGTATGCTTTCAGTGGAAATAGTTACTGAGGAAAGCTGTAGTAATTGTGAGAAAAGATGTGACAACTGAATCCAGAAAAGTCGCAGGAAGGTAGTGTTGGATATTAATTAGCAGAAAGAACATAAAAGGCCACTTTTGCTAGCTTCTCATTCCCTGAGCAGGCAGTTCATGAGTTCTTCCGTAGCTTGCCTTAGGAAAAGATTTATTTTAGTCAAATTCAATATATTCAGATTCAATATATTCAGAGGCTTCCCCTGGTGTTAAAAGGTATTATGTGTATCTTGAAGATTTTGATCTTGCATACTTTTATTCATGAAGGTTTCCTCAAAGAACAGAGTGATTCTTTTCTGCATTTCTTCCTTGTTTGCCCAGGGTCCCTCATTATGTTTCACACCTCTGATTCAATGTCTTCTGTAGAGCTTCTACCAGTGTCTCAAAACACCTCCAGGGATGGGGCATCCACAACCTCTCTGGGCAACCTGTTCCAGTGCCTCACCACCCTCTGAGTGAAGAATTTCCTTCTAACCTCTAATCTAAATCTCCCCTCTTTTCGTTAAAACCATCCCCCCTTGTCATCTGGTTGAGCAAGGAGTTGCTCTCCATCTTTTTTATAAGTCCCCTTTAAGTACTGAAAAGCCACAATGAGTTCACCCTGGAGCCTTCTCTTCTTTAGCTTTCTCTTCTCTTTTTTGATGTGAAGGTAATTACTGAGTGACAGCATATATAAGTAAGCAGAAGGCAGGGAAAAATAATATGCATAGTATGATTTTTAGTCAAAAAAAATCAAAGAAACTTGCAATCATAAACAAGACAATTGACATAAAGGAGGGCTGCCTGTGTAATACTGATATTATTTCTTTTAGCAAATGATCAAATAAAGACAGTATAGTCTTCTTGCCTGAATGATTTCCAGAGGTCAACATAGAAATTTTATATCTATCAAGGGTGTAGAAAGTTTTGTTTTTCTTGAGAAGACAGAGAGCATTGAAGATGTCTCTTCTAACTGAGGTACTGCATTTTTTGTTAGCTTTAAATTTTTGCTAATCTATCTCTGAGTTTGTTTTTCATATAGCATTACACTAGGTCAATCTGCCCTATGTATTATGAAAATGACCCACAGAAATCTTTTTGTTACCAATGAAAAATTTGCTTCCAACTTTCATAGCATAAAAAGTGCTCATTGCTGTAGGGTCTGTAATTATCTGCTTCTACATGCTAATAAAATTGCCGGCTTGAGTTTTAATCTTCTCTTTAAGAAATGCATTTATAGCCTTTTAAATGTACGTGGTATTTCAAACATAAAATAAGTAACATCCCATCATCTTACTTCAGTACAATACCAATCACCACTGTGTGTCTGTGATACATAATATGATTTAGAAAAAATAACAAAAAACAGATAAATGCTCGAGCTATATGACAGGAGAAGAAAGTCTTCTCCTGGAAGAAAGGATTATGGGAAATACTCTAATTTTATTTAATGTAAATTTTGTCTGACTGTGAATATACCATGGTGTGGAATATATAGGTAAAAGAGGAATGGATTGTATAACTATGTATTAGGATGAGTATATGGGAGAGATGATTTGATACATGAGGAATTCAGTCTGCCTGGAAGAACACGGTATGAGCCCAAGGGACCTAATTTAGATAACAGTGTTAAAGTTAGCTGGGCATGATCCTGCAAGTGTTGTGCATATTTTCAGGTTTTGCATTTTTCTGTTACTTTTCCTTCATATGGTATCTGAAGATCTGAATTAATATTCTGTCTTCACTGGTAGTAACAATTATTTGTAAGTGTCAAAAAATATTGGTTTCTGATAATAGCTTACTAAAAAATGTTCTCAACGTAGGATTTATCTTGGGAGTTATCCACAGCAAAAATATTTACAGTAGGATACCCCTGCTTGTATCCCTCTATCCCAGCATGAGAACAATCATAAAATCACTGAATGGTTTGGCTTGGAAGATTACTTAAAGATCACTTAGTTCCTACCTCCATGCCATAGGCAGGGATGCCACCCACTTGATCAGGTTGGCCAAGGCCCCATCCAACCTGGCTTTGAACACCTTCAGGGATGGGGCATCCACAACTTCTCTGGTGATCATCCATAACGACTGTGAAACAGTGCTTCCTGTGAAAATTATCATTCATGCACATGGGAGGACAAATGTGATGTCCTTTCCTACCCCTGTGTATCCTATTTACATGATTTAAAAAAAAATTACTTTAAAAATAAACAAACAAAAAAACCCAACATTAGGCTCTGTAAAGCCATATAAATGGCTTGATTATGTGTTAGATATTAGTAGTCCTGTTCATTCCAGTTCAATTAGTGTCATTTTTTCTTCTTTCCTTGTTATTAACACCACTCTATGCTAAACACTGTTGGTAGTTTAAGGCTGATTCTGTTCAGGATAAAACCTGCCCTGTTACATTGGATGTGAACTTCAGTGGTGGAGACTTCAGCTGAGCAATGTGGCATTCAAACACCTGAATATAATTCACCTCTGGGCTTTCTATCAGCTGTGAAACTCCAGAACATAGGTTTTCAGGATGCTTAAAGTTCAACGATTCAATGAACTGCTGTGGAAAGGTTAATGAGAAAGACACACAGGTTAGCCTCATCTCATTTCCCACAACTTTTATGATGAGTAAAGAAGATTAACGGGTTAAATGGGTCATGGGTTAAATGCTGATATATGACACGATAACAGACTTCTGCACAGATAAGTATAAACACAACACTTCAACCAAGACCTCTCAACAAACACATTAGTTCAATCTGTGCAAGTTTTTGTTTTACAACTAATGCTTCATTAAACTTGTCTTTGAAAATCCATGTTTTATTTATTTATTTATTTATTTTTTAGGTATATTGCATCATCTTTTTTGTCTTTATTTTGGTTTCTTTGCTTATGTATGGAAAACATTAGAAGGTTTCTTTGAAATACCTTATTTTAACCATAAATTTAAAATATATTTATACATGAAAATGCTCTATAATACACTTAGGGAAATCAGTTTAAAAAATATACTCTAGACTTTAACAGTGAATAGTGAATAGACTTTAACTATTCACTATTGTATTAGGAAGGGCAAAGCTTTAGACTATCTGTTGATTTTTCAGCTGATCTTTCATTGAGGTAGAAAGGTAGTAAATTTTTCAGTGTTAGATTCTAGGCTGGGCTTGTTAAGAAGAATGCTAGTTTTCTTTCTGCTATCCAAGAATAACCATTGCAAGATTTTAAATTTTCAGCACTGGCCAAATGAGTACTCTTAAATAAGCAAATGCCACATTAACATCCATGTCAGTTGCTTAAAGTGAACTTTGCTTATTTTAAATAGTTGTATACTCCATGAACTGAAGTATTCTTGCAACAGTGTAGTACAAACCATTTTAAGAATAATTCATGAGTTATAAGCATTTATGAATGTGTCTTTCGATTTTTATTTAAGAATAAGAACTACCATAAATGGAAAGATGGACTATTGTGTTTTGTCATATTTTTTGGAAGAAAAAAAAAGAAAAGAGGAAAAATACTATTTTGAGCCCTTAAATGTGGAGATATTTCATTTTCAAACTTGAAATAGGAGTTTTCTGTACCATGTGAAGTTTTATGTGGAGTTTAACAAACTTATATCTTCTAACTAAAGTCAGTATCTTTGTATTATTTGGCCTGTAGGCATACAAGCATTGTTTTTCCTTCTCTTTTTGCTGTGAAGTCTTATTTGCAAATCACTTTTCACAAAAGATAGATGAAATCTAACTAATTAATCTTAGTTTAAGCTGCATAAGATTCTTACTCATTTTTTTTTAATTCTATTTTTATTGTTTTATATTTTGAAGACTATGAAATGAAACATATCATTTTCAAAAATCTGAAAAAGAGCTTCTAGAAAACAATTGCAATCATTCATTTTCTTCATTGGGCTCTATAGGAAGCACTGATTCTCCAGGAACATACATACCACTTTGTTATTGTGGGGTATTCTCACAAAGCAGTATCCAATGAGTTAAAGGGACTTAACAGTGCAAGGAGCAGATATGAAGTATCATGGTCCGTCACTTTGTCCTTGACCATGTCTTCCTTTTTGACAAATGAGTTCAAATGTACTGTATCTCCAGTCTAGCATTTCTATTTCTTTTTCCTTCCTGTAGAAACCAAAGGGG